GGTTTTTCTTTGTTTTCAATACTGTTAATACAAGATATCTGTTATAACAAGGAATTTTGTAAAGTCTGAAGGACCCTGTTATATCAGTGTTTCACTGTATATTGGAAAATTTGGGGAGTTTTATTATCCATTTCCAAACTTTACACTGCTGATGAATCTGAGTCTGTCCCGTAGAGCTATATTAGATTACTAGAGCGCTAACTCGATGTACAAAGTGATGCCTGCTGATCGCATCCATGTTTGTGCACAAACCTATGGGAAAACTCGAAATTTTGTACAGCTTTTGTATGGCTATGTGCATATCTGCGTTTTTATTCTATACTGGTGCGTTATCAAAGCCCAAAACAGAAACACAAAATCACTAAGTGAGCGTTTCATTTTGTTCTGCGCAAACAACGCAAACACATGCACGGATCAGCTCCAGATAATTATGCTGTGACGCTTTTTAACTATCATGACGCGCCGCGCGTATGTTGTACTTGCGCGTTGCATTTAGAGTACACTTCCAAAATTCACTCCATTTAATTTCATTGTTCTACAAACACGCACATTAATTCAAAATGTCTGTGCCCAGACAACTTCAAAATATCTCCGCGCGTAAGAATGAGGAGGTCGCGCTCTAGTAATTTAATATAGCTCTATGGTCTGTCCACACTAAATGATACAACTGCACAACATAAAAAATAGCTCTCATTTAAACTTTGTTAACAGTCAAGAAATAAGCTTCAATGATTCTAGTAGTAGTCGTACAATAGTAGAAATATAGTGTACATAATAAAGGATTTGGTTGTTAGTTGTTGAAATAATGAGAAATTTGATACAAATGTCCAGTTTATTTTTCGGGGGTCCTTTTTCAAGTTATGTAAAATAGGCATTATCATGCGGAAAAAAAAACAATTCATGGGTACTGAAAATGTTACAGATGAGAAATAAGTTGAAATATAAAGCTCCTCATTTTAGTCTGGAAAAAATGAATGTGGGTGTACATGTACAGTGTCCTAACTATTCTCTTTGTTAAAAATGTCTCCATCAATTAGCAAAACAATTAATTTGAAATTTTCTTGTCTGTCCTGGTAACAAACGTTATTTTCAAGGCATCCGTTTTCCAAATACTTCCTTAAGAAAGAGGATTGTTTCTTTGAAAGTTCTCTAAATGGGCAATTCCACGGTAACGGAATTACAATTCAGAGAAATTTTGGCTCTAATTTAATGGATTTTGTTATCTATAGTGTCAACTAGGCCCTATGCTTTGAGATAATTGATTCAGACTGTACTTCTTACATAATTCGTACTTCACAAATTTTCCGAAAAATGTCGTTTCTCATACGGAATTGCCCAACTACATGTACTAACAGTGTGGGCACTTAATTATACTGGAACAAATATTATCGGACTTGGTTCATACTGCTTTGAATAATGGTGAGTCGAAAAAAAGTGTTTGTCCATGTGACAAACATTATGCCTTCACAATTAACCTTCCATAGCTCCTTAAATATTGCTTAAATTTTCTTAACCTTTCTGGTGTAAGAAGCATAAAAATAAGAAGGGCAAAATATTGCAGTTGGAAATTCAAACTCAGTGTCACAAAAATGTATCATTTAGTGTGGACAAAGACAGATCATAGAGCTTTATTAAATTACTAGAGCGCGAACTCCTCATTCTTATGCACATAGCCATACAAAAGCTGTACAAAATTTCGAGTTTTCCCATAGGTTTGTGTACAAACATGGATGCGCTCAGCAGGCATCACTTTGTACGTCGAGTTAGCGCTCTAGTAATCTAATATAGCTCTACGGGACAGACCCATCTAAGGAGAAAACTCCAAACTCACTAACACTGGGCAACCAAAGCATTCCTCCTGACATGTCCACCTGTTGCATCTGCAAAGATATTCTCAAGTTCCATGTCATCTTGGTCGTCGAAGTTGATGAAACTGCTCACATCGTCATCAGACAGCACGCACAAGTTGTGCATTACACATGTAGCCATTATAAATTGGCATATCTGACTTATGTCATGGAACATGAGCTCTCGCAATCTTCGGAACCTGCCTTTTAGGTGGCCTATGGCTCTTTCCACAACTTGGCGTTTGCCAGACAACATCCTGTTAAATCTGCGTTGCTGCTGCGACAGGTGTCCGTTGTCTTTGAAGGGTGTTACCAGCCAGCTTCTGAGCGGGTAGGCAGTATCACCTATGAGATACTGATGCTCTGCCAATTTATGTCCATCTTCAACGTCATGGTACAGTGGAGAGTTGCGGAAAACCCGTGCATCGTGCACTGATCCCGGCCATCCTACATATGCATCCGTTATTAGCATCATGTCATCAACTACAAGCTGCAGACAAATAGAGAAAATATCATAACACAAAGGGTTAAATAATATAGCATATCATTTTCAATTTTACGGGGGAATTTTCTGAATACAGCTTTCTGAACCCATGACTGAGCACAATAAGCACAATCAGCACAGATATCAAGCAACAAGCACAGATGCGTTGGGTAATTATTGATTCAAAATGACAGAGCTACCAGTTGGATCTCCTTTAAGACACCAGAAATGCACAATCTTCATTTGAAATCTTTTCTTTTCATTTGTTGCCTTTTTAATGTAGTTTGTGTCAGTATTTGCCTCAGTTGTTGATCGCATCGCGCAATTTAAGTTTGCGCGCGCAAACTTGAACAAAATTAATCACCGCGCACAATTTTTGAAATTTGTGCGCGCAAATTTATAAACTACGTGTCTTTCAAAATTGCGCTCAACACCACGACTGTTTGTGGGCCCACTTATGATAATTTATGCTGGGTTAGGTCAGGTGTCATCGGAACTTATGAATTACGCACATAACCGCGTACAGTTGCAAGTCAGGTTCACGGACTTTACCTTCCCTTGAAAAAAAAATCCTCCAAGCCGCTAAAACCCCAATGGGGATCGAACTCGCACCATTGGAATTGTAATCCCATGTAGTATCCTACAGCGGTGATTCGACAACAGTGGTAATTTTAAACTATGCATGTATAACGCCTTTCAGCAAAAATCATATGCGTGCGGGTATGCATAATTCATCATAAGCTCCAATGACGCTATATAACCCAGCATAAATTATCATAAGTGGGCCCACAAATGGTCGTGATCCTGGCACTACGTCATTTATCTTTTGGAAAAACAGTTGTATTTATTTTCTGCCAAAAGAGATAAGTATCAACATGTGCATTGTATTTCAAAATACAGAAACAGTAGTCAACTAATTAAAGCGATCAGAGCAGTATTAATTTAAACATGACTAACCTGAAGCTGGACGGATGGATAGGATTTTCGATTTATATAATCAGGTTGACCATTCAGAATGTTGATAATTCTGATGTGGGTCCCATCGATCACACCAACGATGCCACGAAGGCAGCTTTCCCCAGCAAACCCTTCAGCAATATGAGCTTGTCTTGTTTGGTCAGGCCATCTTATCACACTATGCCGTCTAGTGGATATAGTTGCTGCAACTTTGTGAATGCATGAGTGAACGGTTGACTTGGACAACCCAAACATATGGCTTACACCTCTCATGCTACTTTGGTTACAGGCATACCACAGGAAGGTCAGACATTGCTTGTCAGGCAGAAGTGGAGTATTTCCTCCGCAATAATCACGGTAAAGTTCAGGTCCCACTTCACCAAGCAATCTTTCAAATGTGACACGACTTATTCTAAAATGATATTTAAAGTCCCAGGAGGTGTACTGTGGCACGACTGTTTCAACGAATCCCTCAATTCTTGGTACTTTCTCTCTCTTCTGGTTTACGAATGCCAGGATATATGAAGGAAAATCGTTATCTCCATCAAGTGCTTCGTCATCATCAAATTCAAACATTAAATCATGTAGAACGATAGCTAATTCTGCCATTCTGACAGTGACTGACACCGCCTCAAACTCAAACACACCTCGCGGAACATGTTTATAAACAAACGGCAGCCATCTTTAAATACCATCATGAGAGATTTGTTGTTGCCATGATGGCGCTCTTCATTGTTCGGGTCGTTCGGGCGGGTAGTCCGGGAACAAAACTCCGCTGTTCACGAACAGCCGAGAACGCGGTCGCCCGAATTGACTCTGTTTTTACCCCAGACACCGCATACAAAAACAAACGCTAATGTGTAACGCATATCCAGGCACCAGACTGTTCCTCATTTGCATACGTGTGCAAAAATCTTGCACATGCAAATGATCCAATACCAGGGTGAGAGAGCAGGTATTGGTGGGCGCGTACTGCTCGACACCCTGGGGACGAGGTTGGTGTATATGGAGATCAATGGGCTCAACCTCGTCTGACCTCAATCTCGTCCCCAGGGTGTCGAGCAGTACGCGACCTGCACTCTGGAAACGCGGTTGGAAATAAAGTAAGCACTGGGGACGAGGTTGGCCTGACCTACAATTTAAGACGTAAGCGTCGGGAATAATTGTCAGGTTTGGGATCCAGACTAGTTCAAGAGGTGATCATTTTCGGATGGAAACTTGAATTTCGCACCAGTGCTAGCTTGTCACGTCACTTGGTGGCGCTATGCAATTAATTAATCGGTTGTCAATGTACACAAGATGGCGGAACACTTGTATTTTGTAACGAAGTGGCTATCGTTACGGCACTCGTTGTTTAGCGCCCTCTACGATATTTTTTTGGTACGCACGCAGGTATATAATTATTTGTTTCCACACGTTTTATCGAGCAGTGCGCCAGCTCAGCCGATAGAGGGTAGGATTTTGCACCGCGAGGTTGCGGGTTCGGATCTCAGTTTTGCACTCGAATTTTTTTCCTTTTCTAACCTGAGGCTTTGGAGGATTTTTTTTAAAAGGGAAATAAAGTCCGAATTTCATAAAGTTCAAATTCACTTTTTTCCTTCAAATTTTATATTTTCTTGTCATGTTTTTTTATAAAAGTTGCCAGGTTGCAGTCTACCGTAACGATAGAAAATGGGAAATGCGTTACGGCTGCCGTAACAATAGCCACTGCGATTTTGTAAAATAATGTAAGTCAAAAGTCATGAAATCGTGTAGGCCTAGGCCCTACTCGATTTTGTGGAATAACCTCTTTTATGTCATTAGTTTTACCCCTGAGACTCTGTGTAATGTGTAGTATCAGCTTCATTATTTATTGTGCAATGTGGCAAATCGGCGAAGTGGCAATTATAATAATACTTAATAATAGGGCCTACGCGAAGTGGTTAAAATTGGTTCGGCATGACACTCACACAGCACAGCCAGATCCTGGGCCTGGCGATCGTAATTAAAAGTGTAGGGCACGGTTCCTAGTATAAGTATAAGGGAACAAAATCCACTTTAAAATTAATATTGGACCTGCCAAACTAGTTGGCGACATTCTCAATGAACAGGGTTACAGGTATGTCATACATAGAGGGCAGGGTTTTGATTTTTTGAGGGAAATTTGGGGGTAAAATAACGATGACAGTGCGGCGACAACACGCGACCCAAAAATAAAGATGGCGATCACCGCGCGATGTACCGTGAGCTGGTGAGTACGCACGGCGCGCTGAATCGTAAGGCACAAACCGCGCCGGGAAAATCGTGATTTCTACCCCAAGAATCTGTTCAAAATTGTAAAACGGGTGTCATTAGAATTGAGAAATGTCTGCTTTTGATTGTAAAGGTGATTTTTGAGCAATAAACAACATTTTTGACTCTAATTTGATCAAAACAAAACAGGGGCCCTACACTTTACGATCGCCAAGATCCTAACATTTAAATTTAAATACTATTTAGTATTAGTATATGCAGGTAATGGAACCAGACGGTTCCGTAAGCATGGCATTAGCAGTTGAAAATGGCGTCATTATCACAGCGCAGATTCGACCCCAGGACCTTCGGCATTCATTGTAGTATAACGTTTAGGAAAGATTTCCATATAAGAAGTTCACTAATTTTCCTCTGTATAGACTAACAAGCCCCCAGATAGCAATTTCATGTCATCAAAGTCAATTTGAGCAGTGAGAAAATACAAGCATTTTCTCAGAAAACACTTAGAATTGTTCAGTCCACTCTCATAGGGTTTGCACACAGGGTGTTGAGTGAACTTCTTATATGGAAATCTTTCCAACGTTTAAACCTATACCAGTTTCTTTACCTGTTTACTGCCAACAGAAGACACTACGTTAACCCTGACCATATTTATGATTCTGCATAATTCAAATAAGTCCCTTGAGGGTTAGAGTTTAATAACGAATACTACTCGTTAACGATAACGTTTTTTTAAGTCAGGTCCTCGGGATTAAAATTCTGCTCTTGATTTAGGCACAGCTTAGAATGTTAAGTCTACGTTGTATGGTTCTTTTTATTTCTTCAGTTCTAAAGAGGATTCCCAGAAAGTTAAACAGTCTTCAGCAGATTAGAGCTTCAAGTCATGTGAATTCACCAGCGACTTGTAAGAACCAGAGAATCAGAGATATGATCAGAACCAAGCAAGAAGAGCTACTTCCTTGACCCTGTCACCATGGCAATGACCCCAACATCATCCATGGAAGCCTACGCTCCTCCAGACTGTCTCTGGAGGTTGGTGGAGGAGAATGTCGCTCCTGGCGAGAGGCAAGAGATCCGTGATGTCCTTGGGAACTCAATGGTGGACCAAAGCCTTGAACTTCACACAGAGGTAGGACTAAAAGTAAAAGCCAGACTAGGACCATCAGTGCATAAAAAGATGCAAAACAAATTCAGGCCAATTTTACTCACTCTTTTGCCCACATGATTCTCCAACATTTTCATTGGGTAATGACAACGTCATCAGAATTTCATCAGCCAAGTTGGAGGTCTCTATTCAAATTTTAACATTTATTTGGAATGAGACATCAATAACTAAACATGGGCCAACATTTTTCGGCCAATTGGCCGAAAAATATTGATTGGCCCATGTTGAGTTATTGAAAAACACTTTCCAATTTCAAATTATTGGATGCCAGACAATACTTTTGTTCATGCGTGGTAGGCTGGTTCCCGCCCCACAATCACCATATATATCAATAATGTATGGCCCAGGAGCCAGTCTGCCCGCAAAGCTAAAAACAAAACAAAAACTAAAACAAAAACACTTTTTGAGAGGGTTGTAGACGTCCAAAAAAGGAGAAAAAAAGTTTTTTGGTTGGAGTAAAAATGTACGCAAATTGAACATCTATTAAAAACAAAAAAAAGATGTGTTTCTGGAAGAGCACAGGAACGCAGTTTTAAAATACTCGTATTTGCCTGAATCTACTATACTCGTATTTGCCTGAATCTACTATAATCCTGAATACTAGTTAAAATATGTAATATGTAATATGTACTCTTTTTGCCATTTTGCCGTCCCCCCCCCCCCCCCCCCCACAACACAGGCATTTTAAACCAAGTTGGGCCTGATTCCAACTTGGGCCACACATGTAGAAATCAAGGACAAATGCAAGTGCACCTTGACTAAACCAAACTCATTTGACTGGTTGTACTTTTTTCAGGTTGAAGCGTTGCTGGAGATTTGGCAAGACTATCGGCAGGAGGCAGAGCCAACATTACCCCTGTCCAAGGTGCTGCCGGAGCCCCCACTTCTGAGAAAAAGCCTGAAGGGGCAAATCCGAATTCTGGTGGAGAGTCTGAAAGAACGGGCAAAGGAAGAAGGCAGGTCAGTTGGGTTAGAAGAAAAAAGACTTGGTTTATTGCGTGGTTCCTTGGCTAGATCAACTATTCAAATATTCGATGAAGTCCAAGTTAGTGGTGGGATTAAAATCCCTGCTTGTAAACATTCAGTTTAAATTTCACTAGTCAGTTTGGGTTGTGGAAAAAGGCTATTTGAAAGCAACCTTAAAAGAAATTGAGCCTTTCATTTTTTTGTGACACCAGCTAAACATATATTTTGTACTTCCCTTAATTGACCTATCGCGGTGGAATCGTGTCAACGCAGCTTGTGAAATACTGTCCAGTAACATGATATACAAATGAACGCGGAATGCGCAAAATCTGAGACAAACAAAACTTAATGTACAAAATTCCACAGGGTTGTCTATAGGGGCGTGGCTAATGTGCAAACAGCGATAGGTCAATTTGCTTCATGGTCTCTGATGATGACCAAATTCTCTCCCTAGCACCTTCTTGTTTGATGAATAGCCTGCCCATTGGACTGGTCAGAGAGTTCCCTTCCCTTTTGTCATTACATCTCTTGAGTACCCAGTCCTTGTCAAGGGCATTGCATGCAGCTCCTCACTCGTTTTTTTTTATTGACGTGACTGTGAGTTGAATTAAATCTCCCTGTGAGATCAAATTCGGGTTCGAAAACAAGTAGGATATTACCAGATTTGAAACCTCCGATAGCTCCAAGTTTGAAGCAACGAATACTAAATTATTCAAAAATGCGCAACCCTACTGTACTTTTTTTCAAGTTTGACTGAAAAATACATAGCCTGGTTGTAATATTTTGGTTTTCATTCAGTGTTTGTTAATTTTGGGTTGCTGTTTTTTTAACAGGGATTCTGGCTTGAGCTTGTCCAGGCAAAACAGCGAAGTTCTCGACTACGCACTGAATGACAGCCCAAGAGGTAAATACATGAAAACACCTTTTTATTCACAGTTTTTAATTAGAATATGATAAAACACCTGGTATAATACTGTTACTTTGATTACCGACTCAGTGCAGGAGCTGTAGATGGCACTTGAAAGGCACGAAGGAACATTGGTAGTTAGCAACAGAATCCAGTTGACCCCAAAATGTGCCTCGTTTCACTCTTGTTTTCTGAAAAAGATATGTATTGTATCTACTGAGCTGAAACTTTAACAGGTTAGATAATAAAATGCAACAACATTCCTAATTTTTTGCACGTACCTTTAAGGCCTACCGACGTGAACAGTGCATGGTTCATGCTTGTAAATGGTACGAACCACCTTTCAAATGAATACATGCAGAAGTGCATTGAAATGACTCCGGATATCTAGTCTTGTAAAAGCATTTTTCGCTTTAATTTGATACCATATCTGAGGTTTTGATGCTTGCAGGTCTGAAGATTTGGTAAATGTTCATTTTTTTCAGCCATGCCCACATTCCTATGCCCAGATATAAATGCTTCGTTCTTTTTTTCAATTTGTGTTTCCATTGGTCCTTTGTTTTTGGTAGATTGTAGCACCCCGGCTAGTCCACGAAGACCCTCGACTGCTTTCAGTATCCGAGATGGACGAGAGACACCCATGAGAATGACGCCCTCTAGTGACGGGGATGAGTAAGTCCCGTTGTTGCGGAAACCTGTTTCAAACAGCCTTGATTAAGAAATGGTCCAAAAGTAACCATGGAAACAGTCGGATACACATTTGTAAAATAATCAGTCAATCCTGGATTTGGTAGTATGCATGTAATAAAATACATATTTCATTATGCACATTTTCCATATAAATATAATTATGTAAATCAGTGCTTATGGGCGATTCCAAATAATCCGACCCCATGATGCACATGTACAAGGTTGTTAAGGTGGTGGTACTTTAGTTTGGTCTGTAATTGTTTTTCTACTCATTGGATGTGATAAATCACATTTTCTTTCCCAACAGCGGTTCATTAAAGTGTCAGACATATTTGTCCGGATACAGAATTGCCTTCATCTATGTATCGTGCAGACAGCCAGAACATCTGTAGACCACTCACATTTTTCAAATATTTGAATTTAATGAATTAAATGGATATTCATTTGATGATCGAATATTCATTTTTTTCCTTCTTTTTTTCAGCACAGCCCTTAAACACTCTTTCCATTCAACATTGCTTCAGTGCGCCACCAGTAGCTCTGCCATCGAGCTAATTTTTCTTGAGCAGATTTGCTTGAGTGTCGTCGACTTGCATTGTTTAATGAGAAAGATTAAAATGAAATATAAAAGATGAAGTAGAGATAGAAAGACTGACTGTGTTTGTTTCTCATTGCAGACTATCGGCAACATCCACACTCAGCGACCGGGTAGACTCGGTCAAGGACCAACTGACCTATCTCCAGATAGACGAAGTCATCCACGATTTGAGGTACATCAAGTCACAGGCTTTTTTAAACCGGATTGTTTTTAAACCGTAGCCATGTTTACATAAGTTGTCTAGAGCCATTATCTTGTTCCTGCGACAACTGCGTTGGAACAATCTGCCAATAGATCTATCCATAGCTCTTGAGCTTGTTTCTGACAAGGCCCGAGGGAAAGGTAGCAGATCATTCGGAAAACTTTACAAGAATGAGTTGAGGCGGAAATTGGCAAAAAGTTGTAACAAAGTGCCTAACAGACACAGGGATCCCCTTGGAGTTTCTCAAAAGTGCTCAAGTGCTCAAGTTGAGAAAACTGAAAGAATGCCTGCAGATTGAGAAGACAGTGATGAAATTTTCAGTTTTAAAAGTGGGAGGAACCCTGGCACAACGTGCCGGGGGAAAAAAAGGAATCGGACTGTGACCTAAAATTCAGTCAGCATGTTGGTGTGGATAGTACCGGGACCCAAGACACAGATGCAGAAGGAGACCAAAAAACTATAAACCAAAACAGCAACTTGACTTGACCATCCCATTAAATGAATGAGTCCAGGACTCCAGGGTTAACTAATTGCCAAGTATTGTTCACCATCTTCAGGAGCGCCTTGGAAGACGAAGTCAGCCAGCTGCTGCAAGACATCAGATTCTTGCAAGGATGCCTGGAGGAGGAGTCAGACTTCCGAGCGCCGTCCAGAATGGCGACACAGATACAGGAACCGTCCATCCAAGGTGAGACTTTCAATCATCCTGGAGGGATTCCATCCAACTTGGAACTAACCCTTGTCTTAAAAGTTGTATAGTGTAATAGGAACCATTTATTCAAGGTGAGACCTCTTCACATCACAGTCACCTGTTAGGGATGCAAACTAATCTCAAGTGACCACTGAATTAACTTCTTGACAGATTTACGAGCAGAGAAGAGTTTGTTGGAGAAACAGCTGGAAGAGGCCTCCTCTAGGAGCACAATCAACATCATCAACTCCGTCCGACCAAAGACAACAGCAACACCTCCCTCTCCAAAGTGAGTGTATAACCCATATTAGGATGTCATAATCACGGGACAATTTGTCCGCCTGTGTCGCAATGCATCTGTGCCCAGGGGCCCTTGGCACTTGCATCTTGTAAAGCTCTGAACACTTTACTAAAAGATAAGTGAATTGTTTGATGTATCAAAGCGAGCTTTGGAGCGTTTTCTTCAATGGTGAAAAGCGGCCTCAGTAGTCACAAACGTTGGTCAACTCGATAGGTCTGTAGTCCCCAGTCACTAAAAAAAAAATCTGGTATACAAACTAAGCTCAGTTGCATGAAGTTACTTTATAGCAGAAATTTGTGGACAGCAATTTAACTTGAAGCAAAGAAAAGCCAATAACCGGTAACACGCAATTAACTTGACATAGCTGAAGCAAATATTTGTTCAGCACTGAGCAACATTGTGGGATTTTGTTGCTCCACAAAATTAGCATCAGTCGGATTTGTCTTCTGGAATTTCTTGCGAAAGGCCTGCGATAGCATGTGTACGAACAACTGGCCTAAGTACACAATAGACACCAAATGGACGCAAAATGAACCTTACTTACAAATGCACAAGTTTTGTCCTATTTCCTCCCCTACCCCAGGAAGCTTCCAAGCCCATTGGTGCCCTCAGGCAGGAGCTCTTCCAAGCTGCGTCCGTCCCCACCACCCTCAGCAAGCAATGGAGCCAGGCAGGGTCCCTTCAAGGTTCCACCAGCAACCTTGGGAAAAGCTAGAACCTCAGGCAACAGAGGGGACAACTGCAGACTCGAGACGAAGAGCAGAGAGAAAAAAGTAAGTTGAATGCCATCAGGGATGTATTCGAGACAATTGCAAGTCCCTACAAGTCCTCCACAAGTCCTCCAGTCCCAATTCAAATTGCAACCCATTCAATAAGGCACTCCCCTGTTATTGTTCATCACTTCTGACTTTACATGTAATGGATTTGACTGCATCCGTGAACACAGTGGTCCAGTGGTCTTGTCTACCCATGTGTGGTCCAAAAAATCATGTGCGAGTTCAAAACCCAACGGGTCTCACAGTGCTTGTGTTCCTGGGCAAGTCATTTTATCACAGTTGCCTCTCTCCAATTGCCTATATCTCGGTAGCATTTAATATGATTGAAGGCTGCTTCATGCAACACACAGTATTTTGCAATGTAATGCTTGGAGTTTTGTGAATTCATTTTTCGAAGGCTTGTCATGACGTCACAAATTTGCATTCGTGTTTGCATTTCGGCGGAGCACGGGCCCCTTATTCAGATCTTTTTTTTTTCCTTTTCTTTTTTTTCTTGAAATTTACAGGTAGCAACCCATACACCTAGCTCTGAAGCCCACAAGAAGCCTTCCATCCAAACCATAGCAAGTCCCCCTCACAGCCCTGCTTCCAGAACTCTATCCTCAGGACCCCGCGATCCATCGTTATCCCCTCCGCCAAATCTCCGGCCGTCCCCGCCCTCCTCCGGCAAACCGCCCATGGGACGACCCACCTCCGCCCAGCGATTCAGGACCAGGGTGCTGGAAGCCCGGCAAGGGAAGACGTAGCAGGACTTGCATGGCTAGTCTAACGGATGTCAGGGTCGATTCCTTCCCTTCTTCACACTTACTTCAGAGATTTTTGGAGCTCCTTTAACCCTTGCTAGACGGCAGGTATTGGTACATCGTAAAGCTGGCCAGAAACACCGGGTTGAGCCCCTAATCTTCAGTGACAAGCTTTAGGCCAAAAAAAAAGTCTCCGGTTTCTGGTATGCGTGCGCGTCGCCGTAGCTATGCGCGTCGGCAAAATGAAAACGTTTTTTTTTTCAATGAAAGATGATGTCTCAAAACCGCCAAACTCACTGGTTTGACTGGAATCCTGCTGCTGCACAATTTTAACTTGTTTTTAGATTGTGTTATGGTCGAGAATAAGCTTTATGTGGCCTCTCTGGACTCCCATATATTTGCACTAAGTTTAGTCGGGCACCATTTGCAGTCGTCAGCCGACATTTGAAGCAAAAATATCAGGTAAAAAAAAAAAAAAAAGCCCCGTCACCGCACCACTTTTTGGGCAAGCTCCATACCAGAAACCGGAGACTTTTTTTTTTTGGCCTTATGGGACTTTTTTTTATTTTGAGTATGGCAAGTTGATTTACATGAATTGGCTGACAATGTGACTCGCTAGAGACAAGCTGACATATCGACTGGAACAGAGTTGGCTCTTTGTGTCCCGTGAACTGTACTGGTTCACGCGCTTAAAACACAATGTATAGGTGTGACTAATTTTATTCTGAATGTGCACAAAGCTATGAGCTCCGTGCGCTACCAAAAGAGGGCGCCCTTTTACCTAACAACGACGTCTCATGGGCGGGACATTTCGCTGGTTGACGCGCACCGTTCCGTGTGTGTGACGCACGTACACCAGGGGATTTGTTCTATTTACACGCAGTGGCCGCGCTTCGCGGCAAATGAATTGCAGTCAGGCAAGATGGCGTCGGTCGGTCACCCCCAACTGTACTTCCTTTGCCGTTGAAGGGGTACTTGTGAACGGAGCGGATAGCATCTTTGTGTGAGCATTAGACATCAACAGTAATGCATTCCAATGTCTGCCTCACTGCTTTCCCCAAACTCTTCCTCTCTGACAGGCTACAACCATTGCTTTTATGAATTCCTTGTACATTATGTTGAAATGTAAATAATCAAACCAGAATTGTTGTCAGTATTGTGTTTTTTAAATTTTATGACATTCTAGCAATACTATTTTTAAGTTGATGACCTGTGAGTTTTGAAAGATGTTTCTAGAGTTAAACTATTGTAATAACCCTTTTGTGAGTGGAGTTTTTGTGTTGAGATGAAGACTGAGTTTGCGAGTAGTACTCTATGATGTGTGAGATAAATATTTGTATAATTCAGCTTCATTTATAACCAATCCTGGAACGCTGTCATTTTTATCACGAAGGCCCCCTTCAATGGTGGAAGCATTGTGTTCGCTATTGTTCAGAAAGTCCATCATGGGGCAGTTGCTTTGTACAATTACTTGCATTGCATGTTGCCATTGAAGGCCTAGTGTGTGTACAGTGCTTTTGTTTATGGTGTAAATCGAGGACACACAGAAATGCAACATCATCGGTGAAGCAAAACAGGAACCAAATCGAAGGCGACCTCGATTAGAAAACGTGTACAAAACCAGTGAGAGCTGTTGCAAAAATGCACAAAGGAAAAAGGAAGAACAAAAGAAAATCCTCGATTTATTCCATAAACAAACGTGCTTGATCACGTGGGTAGAATCGTTCGTAGAATTGAGCATAGAAAATCTTACTGATTTGGGATTCAAACCCTACTGCGCCAGTGCTCTACATCTCTTCAACAGTTCTGTTCAATCATTTAGTTGGTGTATTACTGTGTTAACCAGATGTTGTGCGTAACTTTCCATACCAAGGCCTTTCATTGGAACAAGTCTTTTTAAATTCAACAGTCGTGCATTATTGATGTAATTAATTAACAGAGAAATCCGTCCCATGAATTTTTTAAATCACCATAGGTGTGGTGTGCTTTACTTGCATTCCATTGTCCAGCACTGTATACTATTCCGTCCACAGTTTTATTTTTGCGTTGAATTTGAAGGAAATGATGTGAAACTAAAAAAAAACCCAGAGATGTTGGTGTTGCAATTTTCTAATAAAATTATTGTTTCATTGCAGCAGAACTCCGAAAGATGTACAAGTTGTCTTATATTTGTATGTGATTGTACATGTATTTCCTTCCATGCTCCACTGTTAATTCAGGCATTTTTTAATTTTAATTTTTTTTTTCGTTTTATTGCCCTGGCAGCTTCTCCAAGCATCAGTTAAGGCCCCCCCCCCCAAAAAAAAGTCTCCGGTTTCGGGTATGCGCGCGTCGCCGTAACCATGCGCGTCGGCAAAATGAAAAAGTTTTTATTTTCAATAAACGATGATGTCTCAAAACCGCCAAACTCACTGGTTTGACTGGAATCCTGCTGCTGCAAAATTTTAACGTGTTTTAAGATGAGGTTATGATCGATAAAAAGCTTTATGTGGCCTCTCTGGTCTCCCATAATATTTGCACTAAGTTTAGTCGGGCACCATTTGCAGTCATCAGCCGACATTTGAAGCAAAAAAAAAGGTATAAAAAAAACAAAAAAACAAGCCGCGTCGCCGCACCACTTTTTGGGCAAGCTTCATACCAGAAACCGGAGACTTCTTTTTTTGGCCTAACCTTGCTTTTTTAGTGAAATTTTGCAAAGTTAGATGTTACGACAAATTTCAAAGGAGTTAACCTCCCATTTTTTTTAAAGCGAAAATCGGAAAAAAATCAAATGTTTCTGGAAAATTGCAGATTGTAAGGGGTTAACCTTGCTTTTTGAATAAGATTGGGGAAAATTAGATGTTCATGAAAAAAATTCAAACTGTAAGGGGTTAACCTTGCATTTTTTTTTCAAAATAGGACACAATCAGATGATTCTGAAAAATTGCAGATTGTTAGGGCATAACCTTGTATTTCTAGCAAAATTGGGCAAAAAGAAATGTTTATGAAAAATTTTAAATTGTATATCTGGTATGTTTAGTAACATTTGCCAAAATCAGATTTGTATGAAAAATCTAAGATGGTAAGGGGTTAACCTTTCTTTTTTAGCAAAATTTGGAGCATATTTTACTAAAATTGGGCAAAATCAGATGCTTCTAAAAAATCCAGATGTAAAGTTTCCGCAAAAACAGCTGTTGAAAAAGAGCCCAATGTTGAACTTTACTGAGTCTGAGGTCTATCGAGGGGACGATCCTTATTTCAAATCCCGGAGATTCGCTGACAGTCTCTATTTTTCTTTTTAAGAAAGTCGAAATAGCTGAAGAGGGAGGTGAGAATCTATATGTGCCCAGGTACAAAGAGTAGAAACCTACGCGTCTGCCTTTTGTAAATACACAATTGCGGTGTTCATTGTTGCGTAATGATCCGCCTAGCACACGACTGTTTTGCACATTAGGCTGTGTTATGCAGCTTCCTAACAAACCAAACACACTGGGCTCATTATATCGACTTGTTTTTACCCATTAACCCTAAAAGGGCCGGGGGGGGGGCGGAATCCGCCCCCCCCCCTCAACATTTTCCGCGATAGCTTCTAAAAAAAATTTTTTCGCGACCCAAGCTGTTATGACTTTTCAGCCTCGAGCTTTGCGCATCTTTTGATACCAAAAACATAAAAATCGGACCACGGGTTGGCCCGTAGCGAAACATTTTCCCGCGCTACGCGCCGTGAAAACTGAATTTTCACATATACATCGTGTACATCGAGCAGAATTGCCATTCATACATATCAATAATTAATTAGCCATAATTCCAAAACCCTTTGACCTATAGTCATGAAATTTCTTGGGCATGTTTAGGAAGAGTTGCTCTATGCATGTGTGGAGTTTCAAAATTTTTCGTCACTCGATGGCCGAGATCTTAGGGGGGGGGCGGAATCCGCCCCCCCCCCCCCCCCGGCTGAGAGATGGTCAAAATAACCCGGCCCCTTTAGGGTTAAGGTAAAGCAAATGGACCCAGTAATCTTCCTGGCGCGTTTGCTCACCTATAAAGACAACTTTTCTCAGTTTAAGGAAAATTCTAAGGTAACGAAATGGCCGAGTGGTTACGATTCATCGTCCACGGTTAGCGGGGTCCCGGGTTCGAATCCCGCCTGGTGTCTTTTTGGTTTTTAACGTATGAGTTCAATTATTCACTATAAGAGATTTAATTTCTCGTCGTAAAGTACCAACAGTACCTTAGCTTAATCGGTAAGCACTGCTGCTGGTACTGTCCGCGAGTTCCAGGTTGGCGCCTTCGTACAGGTTCAGGGCATGTGGTCCACTCGGAGGATCAGGGCTTAGGGGCCGCCCTGTTCCTCCCTTAGCTCTTTGCTTTTACATGGTGCCTGGCCCTCCGGGGTTATATGGATGGATAGGGAAGGAAGTGTGTATTGGTCGGGGACGCCGAGACCCCGGAAGAGAACTAAGGGATCGGCTGGGGCATTGTTATGGCTCAGACCGATCCCTGAAAGCTTGACTAGCACATAACTTTTTGATTTTTTTGTACCCTCTATCTTTTATACTTTGGTTTAGTTTGATATCTCATACAGCCGCTCGGCAGGTCTACGGGTAGTATCAACAAAGGTGTATGTCATAAATCAATGAATATTTCATAATTGACTATAATCAAAACGGGAAAGAATAAAGATGTACATTGTAATATAAATATTATTTATACATCTTTCAAATGACGCAAAATCAGATTTGTATGAAAAATCCAACATTAGGTTAACCTTGCCAAATTAGGGCAAAATCAGGTGTTTCTGGAAAATTGCAGATTGAAAAGGGTTAACCTTGCTTTTTTTAAGCGAACTTGGGAAAAATCAGATGTTTCTTGAAAATTGAAGATTGTAAGGGGTTAACTTGGCATTTTTAGCATAACTGGGCAAAATCAGATTTATTTGAAAAATCTCAAATTTTAAGGAGTGAACCTTGTATTTTTAGCGAAATTGGGCAAAATCAAATCTTTCTGGACAATTTCAGATTGTAAGGGGTTAACCTTGCTTTTTTAGTGATATTTGGCAAAATAAGATGTGAATGAAAAATTTCAAATTGTAAGGGG